GACAGCTCTGACCGCCTCGCTTCTTTCTCCAACTATGGTTCCGTCGTTGATATCCTTGCTCCTGGTGTCTCCATTCTCTCCACCTGGAACAACGGTGGCACTGTAAGTCTAACCCTACGGGGATATTTACATCAAAAGCTAACGATACAAAGAACTCCATCTCCGGTACTTCCATGGCTACTCCTCACGTTGCTGGTCTCGCCGCCTACATTCTCGGCTTCGAGGGCAAGAGGACCCCTGCCGCACTCTCCAGCCGCCTCACCGCACTGTCGCTGAAGAACAAGATCTCCGGTGTTCCTTCCGGCACCGTCAACTACCTTGCCTTCAACGGTAACCCCAGCGGTTAAGCATTTCTTCTTCTTAGCGGCGCTTTATGAGCATTTTGCATTGAATCTTTTCTAGTTTTGCATTGATAGAAGTCGAAGATTCCCTTCCTTCTTTTCTTATGAAGTCATGATGGCGGTAGTTGTCTCTTGGTAGTCGATAGCACCAATGGAGATACAATCTATGAAGTTACTCATCCAGAACGTCCCCAGTGCTATGTCTTCGCTTTGACTGCCAATATGTCGCCCCATGATCTCGATCTCCGGTCAACGAAGGGAATACGGATGACCGTCTCGTTACTACCGCCTTTCAATGCGGAGATCGACATTACGAAAATGGGCTTTGTGATACCGTCACTACTGTTGTTGTGGGGGTGGCTTACGCTAAGCCTCATCATCATGGCTATATCTGACGCCCATGTGTCACGATGGGTCATTCTTTGTTTCGGCAGAAGTACTGTTGACCGTGCTGCGTCGTATGTGGCTTTGAGAGGCGTGGCCTTGCGCGTTAGCATAACGGTGCCGCGTCCACGGGCCCTGCATCGTCTTGCATAGGTGACAAGGCTCATGCAGGGTCTGCCGGCACATACATCTGCGCAAACAAAGAAAGTATCTTTCTTGGCCTTGCGAAGATCTGTCCTCTAGAGACGTGCACATGGATATCTCTCAGTGTGACGATCAATGAGACACAGCGATCTTCTACCAAACTTTCCTTACACCCGGCAAAGAAGTTGAGATCTCCATACCACCCAACCTTTGTTCAACCTCTGCAACCTCGGACGACTAACAATAGCTCGAACAAGTACCACGCATCACACATGGCTAGCTGCATACGGTACCAGAGGCTGAAGCCTTCCCCGCAATGTCGAAGCTATATTGGCACAACGTTGATCAGCATGGTTCATCGGAAGACTCAATCTCGCCCCGCAATTCCAATAAGAAGATATTGCGGTTAAGGCTGCAGCCGCCATCTTCCTTCCGCGAGCCAGCTGGACGCACGGACCAAGGCGAAGTTCGGGACGCTTCCAGGGTTCTCGCGATGAGGTGCGCCACCAACTTCATCACCCAACTGCCGCTTCCGCCTCTCCAGTCTGCGCGAACCACCTGAAGCAGCGATACGACGCGGATCGTACTTGAGATGTCAGATCTGCGCAGGGTCAAACGATCACGAGATAACATCGGCACTCTAGGCCACGTATGAAGCGTTTCTTCGCGTTGTGGGCTGACGGAAGCTCGCGTCGCGCGGACGCGCTTCAGCGTTTCGACAACGCCTGCGAACTACCACACACATGAGAGCAGACTGCGCGGTGAATATCGCCCAACAGGCCAATAAAGTATGTACCAACATACGGTACTCACAGCACCTTAGCACCTTATCCAAGGGAAAAACTGAACACCCAGGAGCCTACGTCGCCGTTAAGCCACCAACTTCGCAAGCTTTTATCTTAATGTGGGCTCTAGACCTGTTCAGTTTTTTCCTAGGTTAACGTGTTAGGGCATTCAGTCGAACAGACTGCGAGCGTTGCTAGTATGCATGCGCGCGCTGTCAACAGCGGACCATGCCGGTAGCTCTCGCACGACCACTGATGCTAGCACCGTACCATAGAACAAGCGTATGAGACACTGTCATCGACATTTGACGAACGCTACTGCTCTCACACCTTCGACCGCCCTCCGCTGACCTCCTGGTTCATCGGAATACTCGGTCCCAAATCTCGGCCGACTGGAGTACGAGTCTCTCGATGCTGAACATGGCGAGATACATCTCATCGAGCTCGTGCCATGGGCGCAGGAGAATACTATGTAGACCAATCGCTCTCAGTCAATCCCTCCGGAAAGCATTCAGCTCATGGAGCCAAGTCCGAAGCTTTTCGGTGGACATGGAATACGATGTATAGTTCTCGCGCAGTGCTAGTCAACTCATGCTCTTATCTTATTCTCGAACTGGGCCTCAAGCTCTTCGAATCATCGACCAACTGCTCGCACTTTGAATTGACGATGTGTGTCAACCGAGTTGAGCGCCGCGAAAGATCCTATGCAGTCCAATGCAAGGGTGCTTCCACAGTCAGCTTACTTCGGGTTTCTGGTGTTACACGACACTATCACATGTGCGTTCAACAATTCTGACCACGCCGCAACTTCTGGGTCTAGTCTGAATCCGTATTTGTCGTCATACCCACTTCGTGGTGGGTCTACCGAGGTCCCCGAGAGTCAGTATCGTACGAACCTTCATCGGCCCATTCCTCTACTAGTATACAAAATCTCCAGCCCACGTCATCTTCTACCAAACATCTTAGCATTATTGCACCAGTACACGCCATGGACTCATTCACCGCAGGCGACATCACCCACCAAAATGGTGAGGTCACGCACTACTACGAAGGAGGCTCGGCAGACGGCACTCCCCTGATCTTCATCCACGGCTGGCCCGACATCGCAGAATCATGGAAACACCAACTCGCACATTTCGCTGCCTCATCAAAATACCGCGTCATCGCACCTGACATGCGCGGCTATGGCGACTCGACAGCACCCCAGAAAAAAGAGTCTTACCGCCTTGAAGTCCTCGTTCCCGAGCTCGTTGAATTCGCCTCAAAGCTAGGCATAACGAAGGCAGTATGGATCGGTCACGACTGGGGCTGCGGCGTCACCAACGCACTTGCCGCACACTACCCCGAACTCTTCGTTGCCATGGCAAACCTCTGCGTCCCCTACCGGAGCGTGGAGCTGGGCCTCGAATACCTCAAGAGCACCATCAACCGCGACCTCTACCCCGAAAGCGAGACTGAGTGGGGGAACTGGGAGTACATGCGGTACTACGAGGTGAAACCCGAGGAAAGCGTCAAAGCGTTCGACGGGCACTTGGATGTCATCACCAAGATCCTGTATGTGAAAGGTGATGGTAGTAAGTGGGGCCAGCCCTCACCCACAAGCCGTATCCTGAGAGACGGGGGTTGGTTCGGTGGTCATCCGGAAAACCTTCCTGACATCCCGCTTTCGTATACGTCACTGGACGAGCATCTGTATGAGAGTCTGCTGAAGAGCAAGAAGAAGCATGGATTCTTCGGTGCGAACGCATACTACTTCAATCACGAAGCCAATGTGGAGTATGCGAAGAGCGAGAAGAATGGCGGGGTGTTGGAGCTTCCGTTCCTGTACATCGATGCGAAGTACGATGCTGTGTGCTCGCCTAGTGTGCAGCCGAAGTTGGCGGAGAGGATGAAGCGGGATGTGAAGAATTTGACGTATGAGACAATTGAGTCGTCGCATTGGGTACAATTGGAGAAGCCGAAAGAGGTTAATGAGGCGTTGGAGAAGTGGCTCGCCACTTTGTGAGGTACCCAAAGGTGGCAAACATGGCCTTGGTATGTTGATAGCTATCGCTGAGCTGATAAGGAATTGAGTTCATCTCGAGCATCTATGAAGCTTGACTTTCGATTGTGTTGATGTACTGTATCCTGTAAGACAGCATAGCTTGCGCTGCCACGATCCCGATAGTATGGTCTGGCCAACATAGATGTGTACCAGCCAATACTCGCTGCCAGAGATCGCAGGATCTGGCGAGACTCCATGCGCAAGCCCGCGATCCCGTCAAGGAACGACCATTGACAGTGACAACGAATTATTAGCACCGACACACGTTCCAGCAGTCGTACCAATACCTTCTTCGACAATTATTGCATGCACATGCACCCTCGTTCCCCCACCACTCCACGACTCGTGGGCAGACTCATCGACAATATCCGGTGGATCGAATTCCCAGAGCTTCTTTGTGGCGCTCATGATAAGGGTGTTCATCTCCTACCAGTCATCAACATCCTATGACAAGACGCTGAGATTTAGCGCCCATCGGGTACAACAACGACATCATGTAGGAACCCGCTTCATAACAGAACACATAGCACAGCGCTTCGCTAGAGGTAACACGACCTTCAATCGGTGCTTTGTCCAGATTGATTGGCTCTCAGATAACTTCCTTCCCGTGTTCACGGTCCGTTGGTGCTGGATCTGGACCAGATCCTTCCCTTTGGTTATCTGGACGCCATATACCTCTCGATGTTACTATGTACCATCCGCGGGAAACACCAAAGCTCTGCTAGACCTACTGTGCGACCTATACGACCAAAAGCTCTACACGACTGAGCATCCGGCCCGTCGCAATGATGAATGACGAGTAACATCGGAGAACCTTGAAGCGTGTACCCATGCCGTCAACCCATGGACCGGCATCATGCGCGCTGTCAGATAGCGGTATCTTTTGTGCTCTTGTTGGTGTTGCAAAGTAGCATGCGCTCGCCAGACAGCATGCCCTAACGTGGTCCGTGAGAGGTCGCACTGCCTGTGCGTACTCGCGAGCGCTATCGCCAACTGGTCCTTCGCATTGCGCCATTGGGTGTCAAAGGAGCCAGCCGTCTTTGATGCTGGTATGGGTTGTACGGCATTTGTATTTAAGCTTCGGTCCTGCCGCTCATGCAGGTACAACTCAACGTGAAGAATCCGACCCCTCACATTTTCTCTGAAACCCAGCCCCTTGATTATCCCTTCCAGCATATTCAATTCGAACGGCCCAGAAACATGTATACTCCAGTACTCCTCGCTCTTTTCTCGGTGGTCTTTGCTGCCCCCTTGACTAGAGTTGATGGCGCAGATGCCATCGCCGGGAGATGGATTGTCAAGATGAAGGGCGACGTAGCAACACAAGCTCACGATGACCTGATGGCATCCGTGGCCACCAAACCCGACTATGAATACGCAATGCCTGGATTCAGAGGATTTGCCGGCAGTATCTCCGAGGAAGAACTTGTTCGACTCCAGGCTTCTGAGCATGTAAGCTATACGCTCGGATTAACAAAGCTGAGCTCATGTAATCAGGTTGAGTACATCGAACAGAGCGCCAGGATCCACAGCAACGAGATCGTGCAACAGAACAACGCTACGTGGGGTCTAGCCCGTATCTCTCACGCCGAGCCGTATCAAACGAGTTACCTTTTCGATTCCAGCGCCGGAGAGGGTACATGCGCGTATGTTACCACTTGTTTTCGCGCGTGTCTGAATTTCGCTCACAAAGCGACCGCAGATACGTCATTGACACAGGCATCGAGGTTGAACATCCAGAATTCGGGGGACGTACGTACGAAACATTCGCCCCTAGAGATATGCGCTAACGATTGGAAAGGTGCTCTCTTCCTAGCGGACTTCAGCGGTGAGGACACCATGATCGACGGCATGGGCCACGGAACTCATGTGGCTGGTACAATTGGCTCGATGACCTGGGGCGTGGCGAAGAAGACGACGCTGCTCGCTGTCCGCGTACTGGACTCGTACGGTTCTGGTACGACCGAAGGCGTCCTTGCGGGTATGGAGTATGTTATTACCGATGCAGCAAAAAGTAGGGAGGCCGGAGATTGTCCCAACGGTTTCGTGGCCAATATGAGTCTTGGAGGGCGTAGGACGCAGGCCCTTAATGATGCTGTGAGTACCCTATTCCGTCTTTTACCAGACATCCAACTGACATCGATCTAGGCCGCTGCCATCGTCGCAGCGGGAATCTTCCTTGCTGTCGCAGCAGGCAATGAGGGACGGAACGCTGAATTATCCTCTCCAGCATCTGAACCTAGTGTCTGCACCGTGGGTGCTACGGCCATCAACGACACGCTCATCGAATGGTCCAATTATGGCCCTATTGTCGACATCCTGGCGCCCGGCGTTGACATCACCAGCACTTACCTCGGTGGTACTATTGAGACGCACTCTGGAACTGTAAGTATATTCCCAGATGAAACTGTCGGTATGACGCGCGCTGACTCTTTGCCCTTTTCTTCAGAGCATGGCAACCCCTCATATCGTTGGTTTAGCCGCATACTTCCTGGGTCAAGGATGGCCAGTGGAGGGTTTATGCGAAAGCATGGCTGGCGTCGCGACAAAGGGCGCGATAGATGAGAGTACTCTCCATGGCAACACACCGAATCTTCTAGCTTTCAATGTGGCGGAGGCATCCCAACAGTACGGCAGGCGTACAAAGCGTGTCGCGTAGAACCGTCAACGTCCATCATCTGCTGGAAATGTCTGGCATTAGAATCGGGGACTATAGTTTTGACAAAGGGGAGACCCTGGGAAGCAATGTCGAAAAATTGTTAAGATTGACCTTGTCCGTTAGCGCATGCTCATAGATCGTGCGGATCGAGCCGTGCGCGACAGCACCGGTCATTGAGGCGGGAAGATGCATGAAACCTCACCTGCCGTGCCGTCTCACGTCAAGTATGTCAGCCTCATCGGTGGTCAGATCCCACCTATGGCGATCCAGATTCGCCAGTGAAAGCCTCTGATTCCAACGGCTGTCGCAACTGATGCGCCATGCATGGAGCCCTAGATCTTAACCTCAAAGCGGTGATGTCGCCCAAGCCTGCCACGCCGATCGTCACTGCACTAGTCAGCTGAATCAGCGCGCCCGGCCACTCACGAGGCGTGACATCATAAAATGCGGGGTAGAGACTTGCGATAATAGGCTAGCTTGTCTGCGAGCCCGACACTTTGCAGAACCTCCAAGCCTTCCAAGAGCACTGCCCTCACCTGAGCTCTTTTCTATCCCGCTCCATATCTGGCCCATTGGCATCCTCGGACCTCAAACACGCATCATCTTTACTGGGGAGAAAGGGCCACTCTGGAAGTCATGGCGTCATACTTCGACCTCCAGCCGCAGAAGGCGCCGCCAGCTACGAACATAGATCAGATGCCTCAGGACCAGCGCAAGCAACTCGGTCGCATGAACAGTTTGATGTCCCCAGCAGTCACACAAATATTGGAAGGTTTAGGCGACGAAGGATCGGACAGTGATAGCAGCGAAGAAAAAGACCCATCCGAACAAGAAGATCAACGTGCCGCTCAACAATACACTAAGCCAGCACTCGACCCCCAGAAATTGCGCCAAGACAAGCAAAAGCACGTCGCTGCCCAGGCGCCTCGCCCTTCATCTCTATCACCAAGCAGAAGTTCCCTGAAGACGACCAGCAAAAGCTCTGGCCATTCTAAGCCGTCTTCGGCGCATGGCAGCGGAGATAAGTCCGCAAAGTCCAGACAAAAACAGCCGCACATGGCGCGATTCCATTCTCTGCGCAGCATGCTTTTTCAACAGAGGATACAAGACCAGATGAAGACTGCCACGCAGGAAGATTGCCAGAAGGAGGAAAATGCGGCAGACAAATGGCGGTCTCAACACGCCGAACGCCAGATGCATAACCCAGGAACACCTGACCAGGACGCTTCAGGAAAAGGGGGAATTGGAAGTAGGATCCGGATGACAGTAAGACGAATGACGACCAAGGACGCAGGGAGTATGGAGAAGATCAGGGAGGATGGTGCGCCGGTCGAGTTTAATGATCGCGCATCGACTGCTTCCTCCGACAACGAGAAGGACCAACGAGAAGCATCGACGACTCGCTATGAAAGCGACAACGAGAGCATTGACCATTCTGATGTGGACGAGCTGGTACGATGGGTCAGCCGACGAGATCCCCCTAGCGATGGTGAACGACGGAAGGGCGGCGACGTAGTGGAAGCGAAAGAAGACAGTGGTCATGAGAGCCTGGGGCCATCAGACGTTGAAGACCTTGTTAGATTTGCCAGCAGGAAATCTGACACCAAAGAAACCACTGTGTTCAACGACGCACATTCAGGTTACAGCGACGCATCAACTGAATCCGACAGCGAAATCCGCGAAATATCTTCAGACGAGGAAGAAGACGCAGACGACCTCGTACGCTGGATATCGCACCGTGACGGACCCAAAGCAGGCCCCGTGCGCCGCAACCTCCAACGACCCGAGCTAGATTCCGACGTAGGCGAGCACTACGATTCCGACGTGCCCGAACTAGGCCGCTGGTTCAAGCGCCACGACGGCACGAGCGGCGAATCCGCAGCATCCACGCCAGTCAAAGAAACCTTTGACGAAATTGACGAGGAAGAACAGCGAGGTCGCCCACGAAGCCGCGAGTCCATCGAGCCCATCAAAGAGAAACGCCACATCACCGACGACGACGTCGACGAGCTCGTCCGCTGGGTCAGCAGGAAAGACTCCAAACAAGACTCCCCGGTACCTGTTGCAGAGAACCCAATCGACCGTCTAAAGCGCGAAGAGGAAGAAAAACAAACGCAAATCGGTATGAGTGTTGATGACGGGAGTCTTTCCCACGCCGATCTACAGGAAGTTGTAGAACATGCGCGGAAAACGAGTGCTGATATGGTGAGCCCCCCACCTGCATCGCCGTTCGCAGTCGAGACGGGCGACTTGAGGGTGCTGAGGGATGAGAAGACAAAGGCGACACCTCTGGAGCGCGATTCGCAGCGTGATTTGGATGGGCAGAGGGAGAATCTCGATGAGAAGAAACAGGAGCTGGGTATGAGTTTAGACGACGAGAGTTTGAGTCATAACGATGTGGCAGAGTTGATTGAGCATGTCAGGAAGATTTAAGAGACAATGGCCTCGGTTTGCAATCAGCTCGAAGGGATCTAGGAACCGATATTTATGTCACGGAGGATGCACGGGGAGAGCGGAAGCTACGGATGTCGATGTGGGTGTGTGGGTCCAACCGTGAGATCTGGGAGGGTCCTTTTCTGTTAATCTGGGGTTTAGCACGTCGTTTTATACCAATTGAAGATTCCATTGCAAGTTACATCCCATCCAGAGATCCATGTTGAACGTGCAAAGGATATGGTATTCATACAACATAAAACGAGAAAAGAAGAATCTATATCGCAAATGCAACTCCCAAACCCCTTCAAATGCAAGACAACCATCCCACAACCCCAAACCTATCAATCCAACTTCAGCGCCTCCACGCCCTCAAACTGCAACCTCCTAAACATGCCCCTGATAACCCCACACTTCCTCTCCCTCTCATCATCCCTGCCCCTCATCTCCGTGCGCATCTTGCCATACATATTCTGCCCATCCCCCCTCTGCCCGCCCTCCTTAATATTCGTAAAAAACATCCTCCTCCCGGTGTTATCAAGCGGCTCCCACTTAGCAATCTTAACATTCTCCCTCGGAATAACATCGTGTTCGCGGTTCGGGTCAAGAAACTTGATAAAACTAATAAAGTAATCCGAAATCTCGTTTTGGCGACGCACCATGACCTGGCCGACGGTGCCGGCGTGCTTGGTGCCGTAGCCGTTCTCTATGTCGGGGCCCCACATTACGTCCCATTGGTATTGGTATGTTGGTACGGAGGGCGGGTTATGCAAGGACATGGCGTTGGAGGCGAGGTAGGTTGGGCAGATGTAGCGGATGTCGCCTTGGGCTTTGGCGACGGCATCCCACCATGCGCCGCTGTCGGGCCAGTGGCGGTCGTTGGGGTAGGTTTTTACGAGGGTGGAGAGGTCTTCGTCGGTGAGGAGCGGGTAGTGGTCTTTGAGGTAGGATTTGAATTCGCCTTCGTTGTCGGTTGTCTTCTTGACTTGGTCGGAGCCTTCGTTCGAGGTGAAGCCGATGATGGTGGGGACCTTGGCGTAGCGGTCTGCCATTATGGCTGCTGGGGCGGGCGCTGTGAACATGCCGCCGGCGGGCTCGGTGGTTGGCGCCCACATCCAGCGTGGGGGTGTGTCGCGGCCGGGGAAGTTCATGGGGTAGTTTTCGTAGTAGAGGTCGCCTGTTGCTGCGTTGCGCACGCATGCGATGTCTGTGCAGTTCAGTCCGTCTGCGACCTCGTTGTAGAACTTCTCGGCTTGGTCGGGGGTGAAGAATGTCGGACTCGCGGGGGACTGAGCGATGGCACCGTGGAAGAGCTGCTTGCGGCCTACACCAGGGACAGGGTGGTAGTTGTCGCCTTCGTTGGCCGTCAATTGTAGCATCACGGACGCACCGCCAGCACTTGTGCCCATGATGACTACGTGGTCTGGGTTGCCTCCAAAGTACCTGATATACTTCTGGACCCATTCCAGCGCCGCTCTCTGGTCGCGCAGCGCGTTGTTGTAGTCGCCGTCCTTTGCAATCTCTTTGCCAGAGAGGAAGCCGTAGATGCCGTTGCGGTAGTACATGGTGACTACAACGATGCCCTTGTCGAGTTTGCCGTCCACGCCCTTTTCACGTCGCGCCTTCTCTACCATCTCGCCTCCATTGCTGCGTCCTGGGAGATGGAAGCCACCGCCGGGGATATTAACCAACACTGGTAGGTCGTCGCCTGCCTCAGCGTCAATCGGCGTGAAGACGTTCAAGCTCAGACAATCCTCCGTGGAACGAGTCTTGATACCCAGAACGTCCGGTCCTGAGATATCTTCCCTGTTGCGCTGGGTTGGATCGATCTTCTGGATTCTTGGACACATGCCCAATGATCCATCCCACACCAAAGGCTTCTCGCCCCGACCAACGCCGTATGTCCTGTTCACCGGTTGTGGTCCGCGAAACCTGTTCTGGCCTCCTGCATCTGCGGCATACGGTATGTTCCAATAGAACCTGACCTTGTCCGAGACATTTGGCTTGATGGCTAGGTAGTCTAGCTCGACGATGTTGGGGTCTTCGGTGTTCTTAAGCGGCGCGGAGAAGGTAGACGTAGGTTTCGAGCTGAGAGGTGGTAGCCATTCCGAGCTGGGACGTAGGTCGGGCGAGTAGAGGAAGGCAAACGTGAAGGCGAGGACAACGGCAGCCGTGAGAGCGAGTATAACGCGCCTGTCGAAGATGAGGCTCGAATTGAGCGGGCGGATAGCCATGGTGGGCATGTGATGGGAGTTGCAAAAGAATGTAGATCGCGTGCGAAGCGCTGAAGGATTACTGTGGTGCTGTTGAAGTATGCATCTGCGTCTCGTACATGAATCTCAGGAAAGGAAAGACTGCTCACGGAGACAATGAAAGTGTCCTTCGGCGCTGTCGCAAGCCTTCCAAGCATCCATGGCTGCGAGTTTCCCTGTCTAGCCCGACGGGAGGACCGAAGAGGCTAAGGGGGCGGCAATCGGCACCATCCGCTTGGCGCTGACGCGTATCGCATTTCGTGGGAATGCCATGGCGACGCATCACCATACAACCACGGTCGCGCAAAGAGCTGGAGAGAGTGGGAGAAAGCTTGGTAGCTACACGGCTGAGGTGTGAGGTTTAAAGTTATCGACAGGGTCCAGAGCGCCTTCTCTCGGCTGGGGCGTATAGAGGTCAGCAATTAGCGTGCGATGCACCTGACTCCAGTAGGACGCCTGCATCACGTCTCTTTTGAGCCACATCTCCAGCCACTTGCAATTGATCGAGCGCACGACTTCAAGATCAACCAGACGTCTTTTCGATCGAGCATCGCACTCATCGGGGCCGTATTCCTGGATCTACAAGAGATGCTGGTACCAGGCCTGCCTGGTGTATCCGTGGTGAAGGCGAGTACTCCGGATCCTTCAGTCACCACGACGGCCCATGGAGACAAGTAAAGGCAGACCTCCCGGGAAGCCATGGCCTCACAGCATAACGTAGCCAGCCAGTTATAGTACCACCGCGATTTCGTCCATCAGGGCGGCAGCGCCGAACCTCTGCACGCGTGCTGCATAGCAAGACGTTCCCTTGAAGCTACAGTATGGCCTGCAGACTACATTAAGACGAAAAGATACGAAGTAGGTAACCTAACGTCACTATAAACTCTACAGTGTTTATTTTGTGCTTAATTAAGGTGTGCGACTCGATCTGTTGCAGCCCACAATGCTCATAGCACCTTATACAGGGAAAACTCTAAATAGGCGTGGAGCCTACATCAACGTTGGGTCACTTAGTCTGCATATCTTTATCTTAATGTAGGCTCCATGGTGACCGACGGATCTCGAGCACTCGCCGTCACCACGAACACGCTATGCAGGCCTGCTACCAGCGCCTCTTGCTTTCTCGCAGACGAGGTGACCTCGGGTTCGTGGCCGCTCTCTCACCTGGAGGCGTCTGGGTGTGGCCAGTATGGGCCAGTATGAGGCTATATATAGTCACTCTCTTACCTTCCTCTCTCCATCTTTCCTTCTCCATCCTTTGACTCTTCTTTCTATTCAATCCGCCTGAGTCACTGCACCCATTCGCTCGACACAAGGTCAGCTTCGGCTCTTGCTCGTCGTCGAGACCTTCCACCATAGTCCCTGACTAGTGATAGCTATGTCCGCGGACAGCGTTCCGATGGAGGGCATTCAACAGCACACACCTGAGAGATCGACAAGTCCCATCTTTGAGCCTGAGTGCCCGATAACTTCTGTGCCCATCGCCATCATGGTCGCACCCTTATCTACAAACCTTCCAAAGTCCCCCACTCCAGAGGTCCTCAGCATTTCACCATACATGCAGAGTCTCCTGGACATCGAGACCAGAGCTAAGCTTGCCATCATGGGCTGGAACGCCGGCGGCGTAGAGTCAATGTTGCCTGTAAAGCGCAAGGGTATGTGCTTTCCCCATCTGGGGAGTTTATCTTGCTAACTCATGGTAGCGTTGGATTCGCTGTCGATCAGTGACGACGAAGATAGCGACGACGATCAAGATTCTGAAGACGTAGCACCATACGACCCAGCCCAGCAGCGCCGGCCCAGACTACCGATGTACCATCCAGGCTTCAAACAAGCCGAGGGAGACGTTCAAGATCTCTTGCATGTCTTCATGGATTTCTTGAAAGCAGCCAACAATCTCGGTGTTGCTGGAGAAGAGGCAACGTATCTTTGGAATGAGATAATCAAGAACCGCGACATCCTCTACCAAGATGAGATCCGCATCGCCGTTACTGGAGACACTGGTACCGGAAAGTCCGCCACAACAAACGCTCTTCTTGGTGAAGATCTGACACCAGAGGTATTGTTACTCCAGATAACGAAGCAAAGAGCTATCACTAACGCGCATATTTAGGGTGACAGTGGTGCAGCGTGTACGAATGTCGTTACGGAATTTCGACAGAAGACCCTGTCAACCAACATCGGCGCAGTACAAGCGGAAGTCCAGTTCTACTGCCTCGAGTACTGCACTGATGATCTAGTCACGAACTGGTTTAAGGTTTGGTTCAACACTAGGCAGAAGCTCATGCAGGACGAAGACAGTGTCGACGACGAGGACCGCGCACGTAAAGACGCCGCATTAGAGTGCTTGGAACATCTCTTCGCCTCCCGCGTTGCTCCGGAATCTCTGGAGGACTTCATGTCATCGGGCAAGACTCTTAAGGACAACCTAGCATTGAAGAAGCTCTTGAAATGGACTATGGACATACACGGGCAGTTCGTACCGGATGGAGAGCTTTCTGTGCCTTTCAAATCTAGTACGCATGGCGACATGCGCGAACAGCTTCGTCCGTTCCGGATGCGAGCTCCCAACGCACGTTACCAGGGCAAGATACTCCCGTTCAGCCCATGGCCATTCGTCGAGATCATACGGTAAGAACCACCTTCATACGTAGACTGCATCGCTGACATCACTCACAGGTATTACGTTGATAGTCCTCTACTACAGGATGGCATTTGCTTGGCCGACGTTCCAGGAACAAAAGACGT